GGGCCATGGATTGCAAATTTACTTTTGATCTGCTTATCACGTGACAAAATAGCACAGAACATTCAGCAAGGCATGGAACTTAAGAATGAGATGATCTGGGATCTGAATCCCATACTTCACCTTCTTGTACTTTTTAATATATCTCTTTATTTAAGGATAATATACATCCACACAAGTGCATGTCTTATTTGTACAGGACAAGATGAGCACATCCATGTAACCTGCACCCAAATCAAGGAGCTGAACATGAGCAGTATCCCACAAGCCGCCCTTGAGCTCTCTCCCTATCACTTCACTCCCACATGGGGAACCACTATCCTGATTTCTTTTTCTTTTTTTTTTTTTTTAAATTTATTTGACACAGAGAGAGAGACAGTGAGAGAGGGAACACAAACGGGGGGAGTAGGAGAGGGAGAAGCAGGCCTCCCGCTGAGCAGGGAGCCCAATGTGGGGCTCGATCCCAGGACCCTGAGATCATGACCTGAGCCGAAGGCAGATGCTTAACCAACTGAGCCACCCAGGTGCCCCCACTATCCTGATTTCTAATGCCTAGATTAGTTTTGTCTGTTTTTCTACTTTATATAAATGAAACCAAATAGTTTGTATCTTTTGTGTCTGGTGCTTACTCAATATTATGTTTGTGAGACCCATCTGTATTGTTACATGTTGCTGTAGACTGTTGATTCTCATTGCTCATTGTATTCCATTTTGTGAATATAACATAATTTGTATTCTACTGCTGGTGAACACTGGAGTAGTTTCCAGTTTGGGGCTATTAAGAATAATGCTTCTATGAAGATTCTAATACATAACTTTTGGTGAATGCAAAAATACATATATTCAGCTCCAGTAGTTATTTCAAACAATTTTCCAAAGTGGCTGTACAAGTTTGTATCTCCCCAGGAGTGTGAGTTTTTATTACCCCATAGCCTCATTACCATTGGTATCTGTTGTCTTTTTACAATTTAACCATTCTTGTGGGTATACAGTGATATGACATTGTTCAATTTGCATATTTTTGATGACTAATGAAATTATTACATTTCATATATTATTGGTCATTTGAAGTTGGATTTGGAGAGCCTCTTTTTGAAGTGTCTGCTCAAGTCTTTTGTCCATTTTTCTACCGGATTGTCTTATTCTTATTGATTTGTAAAAGTTCTTTATATATTTGAGTCCTTTATTGGATGATTGTATTATAAATATAGCTTCTTATTCAATAAAGTGCCTTTTGTTTTCTTAATGATGTCTTTGAGGAATAGACGTTCTTACTCTTAATGTAGTATGATTTGTAATTCATTCAACTACAGAAATTATTAACATAATTAACATAAGTTGCTGTTTCAAAACTCCGCAATGAACTCTTATAAAGCCATTTTAAAAGATCACTATGTAAAGCATAGAAATGTATGTAATTACAGTTATGACAATGTTTCTGAAAATCTATGTATCTGGAAAAAATGGAAGAGAAAACAGATTAAAAACATTTTTTAAGGGTGGTGAAGAAATATTGGAAGAAAGTCTATTTTTAAAACTTTCTGAGTGCTTTTTACCATATATGTATTTCTATGAGTCATGTGCCTTTGTGTCCCCATAATAACAATCTCCCTCCACATATCTACTTCTATTGTGTTGCTAAAACAAATTATTACATTTATCTGTACTTAATTATCACAAGTCTATCTCTCTCTACCAGACAGTGAACCCCTTGAGTCTTGCTCTTTGTATTCCCAGCTCCAGTCACAAGTCTGGAACATAAAAGGTTATTTTGTAATTGTTTAATGAATGAATGCATTACTTGATGAATAGATAAGTAAATAGGATTTTTCCAAATCTTAGCTATTCTCTCTCTATATATATTATGTGCTTGGAAATTTTCCTAATGCTTTCAGACATTATGGAAGAGTTTTTAATCTCTTACCTCTAAGCCCCTCTAATTTAGGAGTTTCTAGCCGTCTTTGAGATCCAGAATCCAAATGTCTGGCTCAGCTACTCAACCAGTGTGGGGAAAAGAAATAGAGCATAGGGAAATTCTGCTTTGGCTAAAGAATTGTGTTACACCATTACTTCAGCCTGCATTTATTTACCCCAGATTTCACAGACCAGTGTGTATATTCTACATTTACAAAAAAGTAAAAGCCTCAGAAAGACCTAAAAAGAATACATGTAAACAAGAGGCACATTTACTAGGACAACATACAGGCATATGGTAGGTGTTACACATTTAGGGTTTTTTTTTTTTTCTGGGTAAGCGAAATATTTACAAACGGCCCAAGATATACAAATGGCCCAGTTGCTTATTTTCCATCTGTACTTCTCACAGACACTCTCCAGTTGAATGGAAGTTCCTTGACAGCAGCAATCATGTATGTCTTATTCCTTGCTGTATCTCAAAATCTAGCACACTCTCCCATGGTGGGAGCAGAAGACATTCTATCTGGTGACACCAGACATGCACTAATCATCTTGATTGGATAGAGCTTGCAGGACTGAATCCGCAAGTCAACAAGGAGCAAAGAGCCAAGAACCTTTTATATACCATCCTTAGAATTTCACATCAGGCAATGATATGAAAGCTTTCCCATGGCAAGCATGTATTTGTTGTTCCTAGTCCTCTTTCCCCTCTTCCAAACCACCAGCCTAGTTTTTAAGCACTATCCTCCCCTCATTCAGCCTTTCTCTACCTAGCCACACCTTCCTTTGCAAAAGTAATTATGAATATCTTGCCTTTCATATAGCTGGAATACGCCAAAAAGCACTGATTGTATGCATAAGGCTACCTGAAAACTTGCCATACCTCCAGTTACAGGCATACCTCATTTTATTGCTTTATAGGCATACCTTGCTTTCTTGTGCTTTGCATATATTTGTGCTTTTTTACAAATTGAATATTTGTGGCAACCCTGTGTCTTGAAAGTCTATTGGCGCCATTTTCCAACAGCATTTGCTCACTTCATGTCTCTGTGTCATTTTGGTAATTCTTGCAATATTTCAAACTTTGTTATTATTATATTTGTTATGCTGATCTGTGATCAGTGATTATGGTGCTCTGAAAGCTCATATAAGAGCATTTTTAGCAATAAAATATTTCTTAATTAAGGTATAGAGTTTATTTTTTAGACATAATGCTGTTGCACACTTCAATATGCATAAACACAAACTTTTATATGCACTAGGAAACCAAAAAATTTATTTGACTTACTTTATTGCAATACTCACTTTATTGTGTTGGTCTAGAACCAAACCTGCAATATCTCTGAGTTATGCCCGGACTAGGTTTTTTTCAGACTCTCTAGACTATTTTGTTCAATGCAGTCTTTCTTATCCACTCTTCTTTGTATAAGTAAGTGGCCATCCTTGCCTGGCTATACTAAAGTGCATTTAGAATTACACATCCATTCAGGTTACATTCCTCTCCAGGAGAGAAGGTGTGAGCTGTGCTCTGTCAGAATCTTGTCTATAAAGGGTGACCGTGAAAGGTCCTGCAGAAAGTGGCCTCTTAAATCCTAGATGCTTCACCTCAGCTGTGCTTGCTCACAAAGTAGGCTTCATGCCATGGATCCTGGTACTTTGTAAGTATTGTTGCAGAGAGAAGGAACAATGCTTAACTACGGCCATAACCTGCTCTCAAATAAGGTAAAGAATGTCAGAAGCTGGGACTGTAAGTTATGTGGCATATTCTGAGGGCAGAAATCAATTTCTATGGAACTGGAATGGAACACCTGCCTCATTTAAGGCTACCATATGACACACAGTTTCACAAGTGTTCAGAAAACTTCATTTACAAGACTCAATTAATTCTTGAGTTCCCTCCCTTGGGTAAAACAAAACTGTAGCTATAGTTAAGGCTTTGGTAGCAAGTGGCTTGTGTGACAAGAAATAGAATCAAGGAAAGATCTGCAAAGATGAACATGAAATGGACATTCAGACAAGGGTTTTGGGAAACAGCTGCGTGTTGCTTCTCTCCCTGGCAGATGTCAGTGGCCATCAAGGCCACCTTCTCTCTCACACACCCTCCCACAGTGTCAGGCCTCGAACACAGTTAGAGGTCATATTCTCAGGGTGACATGGACCATCTTTCAGACAGACAGTGAAAAGACATCTTAATGGGGGAAATGAGTCATCTTGAGAGCTAGGCGGAGGATGGGTATACCTTGATAATGGCGTGTTTAACAGGAAGATTCTTTACTCTCATGGCTGCCTCGGCGCACCATCCAGCCCCTGAGAGCTCTGACGGCCCACGGCCCACTGACTACATACCCTTCGGATCCAATTAATGATGGCGCCCACGCCACCTACCAAGCACATTTCCAATTTAAGCGGTCTCCAGCTCTCCACCACCACCCACTTCTCTCCTCCACCTTTCCATTCCTCTCTGTGGGGGTTAGCTAACTAGTTGACTACTCACTAATCCTTCTATTAATGAAGATTTCAGCCTCCCTCTAAGGCCTTACACTGAAATCTGTAAGGATTTGTGACCCTGACAGGGAAAAAATTAGAAAGCAGCCAGCAAAACTTTCCTGAAGGATAGAAATACCCAAGATCTAAAAATTGTCTTTTAAGGACGGATTCCACACTCTGAATCCTCCTTTTCTCCTTACCTCCAGCTCCCTGTGATGAAAGATCGGTAACCTTAGGAATAAATGACAAATTCTGTAACAATTAGGTTTCTTCCCAGGAGCTCCATGGGGATGCAGGAGTAACTCTGTGGTTGGGGGCTGGGGGGGGCGGTGGGAAAGGGGCAGGTTTTTTGAGCCCCCGATTCTGCCTTTGGCCACCTGGTCCCAGGTTGCCGCGTCCCCGGGCGGCGTGCGCAGGTCAGCGCCGCGCCCCGGCGGTGGTGTGACTCGGAGGGGTGTGACTGCGAGCCCCCAGCGCGCGCCGGCCCCACCCCCGCACTCTGTGCCCGCCCGCGCAGCGTGACTGGCCGCCGCCGCAGACCCGACTCCGGGAGGCGCAGAGCGCTGCGCGCTGAGCGGGAGAGGCGAGCGGACTGCTGCTTGGCGTCCGCCGCGCTGTCCTCCCTCCTCCGCTCCCTCCGCCCTTCTCTGGCGGCCGCGCTGCCTGGGAGCCCGGGAAGCCGCTGCTCCAAGCCCGCTGCTCCAAGCCCGCTGCTCCAAGCCCGCAGCTCCGGCGCGCGGACCAGCAGCGAGGCGGGGGCGGCGGGAGCGCGGAGACCACAGGCCCCGGGGGCCGCAGAGGGGGCACTGGCTTGGGCGGGCAGAGCTGAGCGTGGGAGTGTTTGCGCGTGAGATCAAGGGCTGCACCCGTGCTCCGCGCGGACCCCGCCAGCCCCAGCCCAGCTCGCCGCAGCCCGGGAACCTCCCCGCCCGTGCCCCAAGGCACGCGCGGCACAGCCATGAACACCAACGATGCCAAGGAGTATCTGGCCCGGAGGGAAATCCCTCAGCTTTTCGAGGTAGGGGGTAGGGCTGGCAGACGGCCGGGAGGACCCGGGGAAGGCATCTCCTGGCCTGGGGTGGGGGGGTCGGGGGGAGGGAATGGAAGCCGCGCCCCGTCCCACCTTGCCGACACGGGGCGCGGAAGTGAAGGGGCTTGCAGAAGCTCGCTTTCCCGCTTGCCCGGGGTCGTCGCCTTTCCAGCGGGTTGCCGGGGTCCTTGTCCGATGTCTGGGCTTAGAAGCCCGCATCTCGCAGATCAAGTTTCAGCCTTCCAGCAGGGCTCTGGAAGCAGGTTGCCCCCAGTGTACCCCTCGGATGTGGAGGGTGGGCTGCCGGCGGCGGTCGGCCCCGCTTTCTAGGGGCGAGGGCCAGGCAAGGTGGGTACGCTGGCGCACAGGAGCGAGCAGGGACTCAAAACGGAGGGATCGAGAGCCCTAGCCCCTCCGCGCGCAGAGGGTCAGGACCCCGCGGGGAAGGGGAAGTGTGGACGGAAGTAGCCTTCTGCGGGGACAGCTTGGAGGAGAGAGGTGAAGATGTAAAAAACAAATCCAAACCCGTCGAGTGCAGCACTATCTCCGGGGTGGCAGGCTCCCAGCGCTGCTATGCGCTTTCGGTGAATGAACTCCTGAGCACGTTTTCCGTCGCCTTGGAAGGGATCATTCCTTCCTCGCCCTGGCTGTAGCTTTCGCCTGCCTCCTCCAACCCACCTAGAGAAAGCAAGTCGGAGAGAGAGCGGCGAGGCGGACGTGACTCCTGTTGCTGTCTTCGGGGCCGCATCACAGCATCATCTCCACCAGGGACCCAGGGGATAAGGAACACTTTGGGAATGTGGGAGAGGAGGCTTGAGGGATGAACTAAAGGAACCTTGTTAGTTCTAACCGCAGCCTACGTCTCGGAGCCTTTTGCTTCCTTTCCTTCTCTCTATATTTGAATTTTGAAATATTCCTGAGTTCTGTGTGGTTTCGGTTAAAAACAAAACAAAAAATGGAAGCGAGCCAAGCTTCATAGATGGAGCTCCGGCAGATGAATTCCATTCACTGTAAACCTGCCCCCCCCACCCAATTTCTGAAAGATGATAGACTGTAGACTGATCCATTAAACCAAGGGTCATGAGTTGTTCTTTCTCCTGTTTGGGAGGTTTGTTCTGCTAAAAGGAATTTTAAAACACCATTTGGGAAAAGAATTTGATGCCTGTTTTCCCAGATTGTCTTTAAACTGGGCCACCATAATTGCAGATCTTCATTTTTTTCTCACCTCTGTAAGCCACCGGTTTCAGGTTGGTCTGAAGCCAAGATTCCCAGGTAAACCACACACTGAGCACAAGCCTAGTTTGTGAAACCCAAATCTAGCAAGTGTGTTATTCATGCTTGAAAAGAATCAGGAGGTGTTGCATAAGGACAGGTCTCGGGGGTAGGTAGAGTTCTTAAAGAGTTTTCCTTTTTCTTCTTTTTTTTAAATTTTCAAAAAGTAAATATGGAGGGGCGCCTGGGTGGCTCAGTCGTTAAGTGTCTGCCTTCGGCTCAGGTCATGAACATCAAGCCCGCATCGGGCTCCCTGCTCAGCGGGAAGCCTGCTTCTCTCTCTCCCACTTACCCTGCTTGTGTTCTCTCTCTGGCTGTCTCTCACTGTCAAATAAATAAATAAAATCTTAAAAAAAAAAACAACTTTCTAGCAACAACCAAGGAAGAAACATTATAACGAAGCCAACAGAACAAGCTCATTGGCTTCATTTCATGGAGTGAAAAAGTATATCTGTGAATTAGGATTAATAAGGTAGAGTTGCTCACAGAGCTCATTGAAGTCATTTGTACATATTTATACATACATTCACCTTGTACGTCTTAATTTATACATATTCCTAGTAATGGGAAAGTGGAAATGATGGCATTCCTGCAAAAGAAGGTACAACTGGAAGCATCGGTGAACATCTAAAAGCTTAAAAATGCTCACAACTCAAAGTTGTTCATGAAGATTTATATCAGCTGGTTTTTATGTTAGGTTCATTATCACTATCTTTCATTTACTTTGAGACATAGAAACAGTTTCCTGAAGACAGTAAGAAGAAAATGAAAGCGGTGAAGTGGGAAGGGCAAGGGCTAACTGAAGGTTGGATATGGGGAAAGGTGGGCATTCCTGCTTTTCTTTTTTTTAAAGATTTTATGTATTTATTTGACAGAGAGAGACACAGTGAGAGAGGGAACACAAGCAGGGGGAGTGGGAGAGGGAGAAGCAGGCTTCC